AAATTTTCAGAAGTAGATTGCCGGGCCTTTCTTCCTAGGTGTTTCTGGGTGGACTCAAACCTCCAACCTTTCAGTTAGCAGCACTAACGGTCAATATATTCTTTATCTCCATGCATTTGTAGGTTAAAAAAAAAAAGCCAGTTTCACTTAAGAACGTCTTTGATAAAGCAGTAAAAATTAGTAACTGTATTAAATCTTGACCCTTGAGTATACATCTTTTTAATATTCTATGTGGTCAAATGGGAAGTGCACATCAAGCACTGGTGCTGCCTATGAATAGGATGGTTGCCTTGAGGAGAAGCACCTGTGTAATTGAGTTGTGCGTGAAACTAGTCTTTTTTTTTCCTTCCTTGAAACGTCATTTTTACTTAAAAGGATTACACAAACTGTTATTTAGATGTGGGTATTTAGTGGACACTTTCTCAAAAATGAACCAAGTCAGCCTGTCACTTCCAGGAAAACAACTGACAGTATTTGTGGTCAATGATAACATTTGAGCTTTCAAGTGAAAATTAAAATTCTGGAAAAGCTGTAACTGCCACTGTAAGCTTGACAGCTTCAGCACACTTAAAAACTTTTCTGATTAGAGTGGTGTTGATATTAGTGGATGTGTTATTTTTTTTTTTTAACAATTTTTTTTTTTTTTATTCAGGTGAAGGCATACAGAACAAATAGTTTCTCATGAAACAGCAGTACACATATTGTTTTATGACATTGGTTAATAACCCCACAACATGTCAACCCTCTAACTTCTCAACCTTTTTTTTTTGGTGAAAATACACATAGCCAAATACACACCATTTCAAAAATTTCTACGTGCACAGTTCAGTGACATTGACTACGCTCTTCCAATTGTGCTGCTATTCTCACTTAAGATGAAGGCTTAAGAACAAAATAGTTTCTCATTTAACAGTTACTACACATGTTGCCCTATGACAATGGTTAACAATCTCACAACAGGATGTGTCATTTTTTATATTATATAACACACAAATGGTATCATTTGGAAGATCTACGTAACTCAGCAAACCAATATTTTCCAAATGACCAATGTGTGATGTTACAAGATCAAATATGAGTAAAAATTCTATTCAACGTGCAAGACAGACCAGTGGAGTTTAATGTAATGGAGTGTAAAAAGTTCATTGGGATGGTTCCATGTTCCACACTGCAACTAACCTTTAAGAAGCTACCACTTGTCAGGTTTTGGTATAGTATCAGGGAAGAATATCCACAAAATGGCTATCAAAATACTCCTTCCTCTTCTAAACGCATACTTGTGGGAAACCAGATTTCCTTCTGGTACTTCAACCAAAACAGCATATCGCAGTAGACTGAATGCTGAAACAGATGTGAAAATCCAACTGTCTTCTATTAAGCCAGGCACTAAAGAGATTTGCAAAAATATAAAACAACACCACTCTTCTCAATTAAATTTCTTTGGTTTTGTTTTTCATAAAAATATATTATTTATATAAGCATGTAATGGGTATTGTTATTTTAAAATGGATTAATAAAACGTATTTAAAAAATTTCTCAGTTTTAGTTTCTAATATTGTGAGTTTCCATAGATATAACCCACATAAAACTTCTTGGGGTCCTTGATGCTTTTTTAAAGCATTAAGGGGTCCTGAGACCCAAATGTTTGAGAATTGCTGGTGTAATGGATAAAAGCCTGGGCTTTCGGGCCAAACATGTTCTCTAATCCTGATTGGGCCACTTACTGATGGTGACACTTGGGCAAGTGCTTTTGATCTTCCTAAAGGTTCCTCGGGGCCCTGGTGGTGCATTGGTTAAGAGCTCTGCTGCTAACCAAAAGGTCTGCAGTTTGAATCTACCAGCTGCTCCTTGGAAAACTGCTGGGAAAGTTCTACTCTGTCCTACAGGGTTGCTAGGAAGTGGAATTGACTTGACAGCAATGGTCAACGGATACTAGTTCCTCAGAGTCCCTGGGTGGTGCAAAGGGTTAACACTCTTGACTGCTAACCAGAAGGCTGCAGGTTCAAGTCCACTCAGAGTAGCCTCTGAAGAAAGGCCTGGCAATCTACTTCTGAAAAATCAGCCATTGAAAACCCTATGGAACACAGTTCTACTCTGACACACATGGGGTCACCATGAGTTGGCAACCAGTTACTGATTAATAGTTCCTTATCGTTAAACACGGATGAACTTTGAAAACACTATGCTGAGTGAAATAAGTCAGTCACAAAATGACAAACACTGTATGATCCCACTTACATGAAACATCTAGAATAGACAAGTGTATTGAGACCAAAGTTTATTACTAGTCACCAAGGGTGGCTGGGTCGGGGCAAGAGGAACTCATTGCTTACGGGGACACTAAGCTTCTGTTAAGGGGGATGGAAAAATGTGAAATGGATAGTGGTGATGGTTGCACAACATGATGAATATAACCAGTGTCACTGAATTGTACAGGTAAAAAATATTGACATGGCAAATGTTTTGTTATATATATATCTACCACAGTTAAAAAAAAAAAGAGGGCAAGTTCCTGCAGGCCTGCCTCAACAAGGACTCGTAAGGACCGGATTCACCAAGGCACGTGAATGAGGGCTCAGTCTGGCCTGACTCACCCAAGACCAGAGAAGAGAGAATGGAGAAGGGCACACAGCGTGAGGGCCATTGGGGGTTTGCAGAGGGCTGACGGGAAAAATCACTCCCACTCAGACAGTATTGCTCTGTCCTCTTAAGCTTCCAGTAGGCTCCCCAACCCTACCCTTCGGGGAAAAGCTGGGCAACTGTTTGTGTGTTTTTTTTCCTTTCTTTTCAGTGTATTAAGTGTAATTTTATTTTGTAAGTTGGCAGCTCTGCCCCAGAAAACTAACAATGCTGGAGGGAGGTGGAAAGCAAGCCGCAAGCATTGGCCACCCCAGGTCAGGACTCAGCCGATGTCCCTGAACCAGAGGCCGCCACGTGGCATTTTTCTGGGTCTGCCAGTTTTCACTTTCCCTGACACCCCCTTTCCTGCTTACTTCTCCCCAGCACACCCTTAGCCTGGAGGATGCCAGATGCCCAAGAGATGGTTTAGGGACAGAAGCGAGGGCTGCTTTCCTTCGTGAGTTTTGGAAACCATACCCAGCCAAGGGAAGCACCACCATTTCCAAAGCAGGAAACCAGGTCTCCTCCCAAAGCTCTGAGGTTGACTTTGTAATTACATCCAATTATCTTCATTATTTCAACCTTTGTTTCAGGAGCTCTGGAGAAACGCATCCACGGCCTTGTTTTCACGGCATTTTCTTCCCTTTGACATGTGTCACTTGGCACTCAATTAGCCCAGGAAGGAAGCACGCACCTGGGTCATTTTCTGCAGCCCCTGCCTGTGGCACAGCCCAGCCCAAGGAAAGGGTGTGGTGCTCCCTCCACTGCATTTGCTCACGCAGATCTTTGAGGGCATGGCTCCAGACCAAACCCAGGGCTGACAAAGACTTTATAGCGACTGTCAAGACCTCTCCTCCTTCCTTCAGGCTGGCAGCTCTGGTTACAGCTTCCCTGAGCATTGGGAAATGCCAGGAGCCACAAAACCCACCCAAGAGTCTATCTGCTATTCTAAGAAACTGGCACACTAAGGCTCCACCCTCAGAGGCATTGGCAAGGCGGGTCAAAGCAGCACCTAGCAGGAGTCTGGATCTCATTCTTTGGCTTGGGTTTGCTAAACTGGCCTGGGGGAGTATGTGTGCACTGTGATTGTGAGAGAGTGGGAGTGCAGGCATGAGATACGTGTGTAGGGTGTGGGGGTGTGTGTGAGTGTGTCTTTCTGCTGGGCACTTGGGCTTCTCTCAGCCACTCACACTGGCTCTGCTTGCTCCCAACATGGGGCTCTTCTCAGTAGCAACTTCAGTAGGGAACACTCCTCCCTTCCTTCTCATTATCTTCTACTCACACTTCAGGTTGCAGCTCCAACATCATTTCCCAGAGAAGATTTCTCTGATTTTCACATCTAAGTCAGACCCCTCCACTTTCGGATGTCATAACAACCTTGCACCTCTTTTTGTGGCACTTTTTACAGTTGTCATTTTGCATGTGCTTCTGAAATGACTGAGCAAAGGTCTGCCTCCCCCAGCAAACTATGAGCTCACCACAATTTCACCAGTGTTGACACAGTATCTAACACAGAGGTGCACTCAATAAAGGTACTGACTGAACAACTGAATGAACGAATGAACGCAAATACGAATATGCTTTGTGTTGGCTGAGCGAGTGTGCAATGCCTGTCTGGTCCCAGCTGCACTGGTCCTGATACATTCCAGAAAGTTCCCCATGACTATGGGACTATGCCTTGTCCATCTGTCTGAGCTTTCTACAGGGGCAGAAATAAGGGTTTCTCTATAATATGAAGAGCCCTTCAGGATGGGAACAGCATTTCTTTCATTTAACTTGGAGCTTCTGGGGTAGGACCAAAACCTAAGGAGTTAGTGTCAGGAGCTTGGGCTGTGGGATAAGAAGGTTCTAGTTCTGAGTATCAACAGGACTCAATATGAAGACTGTTTCCTCATCTGGGAAATGGGCAGCACGTTTGATAGGGAGTTTTGAAGGTGGAAAAGATTTATATTAGTAAAAGCACTTTGTAAGCCGTGGTGCCCGCTGAACAATGTTTTTACAATTATCCTGCATGGACGCTGGTATCAGACTGAGAGATTGCCAAGAGCAGGAGGTTTGGGAAGACAAACAGAGTGCAGAGCAGGGGGCTGGGAGATTACATAGAAAATGAGACAATAACCTTCCTACTCGTATTCTGGAATACATTTAGGGAGAGCAGGATCAGACATGCCTCACCTGCCAGGTGGAGGCGAAGGGGTGCTTCCTATTCCTATATCAAAGCTGCTGTCACCTTGGGTAAGGTTCGACCCCCATCTTGCTGGGATCACCCTCAGGAGGCATCCTCCATGAATCTCTCTTTGCTTAGTGTACTGGGAATAAAGTGTGAAGGATGCCAGTGGTGGGGGACGGCAGCATACTCAGTGTGGGGTGAGACTACTTACAGCTCGGTCACGTCCTTGGGGATGCCTTTGGGGAGGGTGCGGAGCCCCTTGTTACTGCATCGTACCACCGTGTCCACGCAGGTGCACTGCTCTGGGCAACGTGGGCCCAGCTGGCAGCTGCTCTCATCATTGCCTGTGGAGAGAGCCCCGGAGAGGGTGAGCATGGCTGGAGACATACTCCACTAGGGGGAGCAGGTGAGCAAGGCTGGGTGACCCTGGCCAAGCTGCCTTAGCAAAGTGATACCTTCCTCTGCCTCCTCTGAGCCAGAACCAGGAATAAACTACCTGCTGGCCTCATCCATGGATGGAGGGGAAAGGATACATGCCTAGGGTGGGGAGGACGGTTGCCTGCCTTATACCACATTGACATAAAATGAAGAATATAAAGGAGGCTAACTGAGACCTGATTAACCAGAGTAATAGATAGGAAAGAGGTCACTTTAACCTGATCAAGAATAAGAAAAATAACTGAAGGAGCAGTCAGGGGTGGGGGGCAGAGCCCTGTCTATTCCCTTCCTCTTTCTCCCCTCCCTCAACTACACAGTCCCTCTGGGGTTGTGAGTATGTCTCCAGCTCCCATTATACCTTAACCTCAGTTAACTTGCAAACCAGTTAATCCTGTCCCTAGATAACCCATAGTTGATTAAGTAAAGAATTGCTGCTGGCTTGGTTTATGCAAAGTGCCCTATTGGCTCCTAAGACTCAAAGCCTCAGGTCTCCAGTACCCGCCCCCTAGCCAGTGAAGCTCTCATCATGTTACAGACAAGAAGACTGAGTCCCAGAGCTCCCGTATACAGTTGTGTAGGTTGTGTACTGCACAAGAGTACCACGTCTAGGGGGCACCAATTTCACTGTGGACAGGGTAGGTTCTTATACTTATCACAACAGTGTTATCAGAGATGGCAGCAAAGCGTCTTGTTTCAACAAAATCAGTGTATTATGATACATTTCCTACTGATGGAAGTAAAAGGTCTTTAGAAAGGGACACCTTTTCTTAATTTGCATGAAGGAGCCATGTGGGCTATAGCAGATCTGCAGAGCCCTTCAGCGCTCCAGCTGTGTGCCCGAGGGCAGAGTGGAATCGTATCTTAGGGAGGCCTGGCCTGCAGCTACCAGCGACACCTCTCCTCGCCTCCATCTCCCTTCTGCCTTCTCAGGTGTGCCACCCCGGTCTTCTCACCGTCGCAGGTGAAGTCCTGGATAGCCACGTCCTGGATGGGAATCTCCTTGAGGAAGAAGGGCTTCTGACACCTAGGGTTCCCGCTGACGATGCGTCTCTTCCTCAGCCACTTGCCGAGCCATGCCAGGTGGCAGTTGCAGTTGAAGGGGTTGGACAGGAGGTTGCTGGAAGGAGAGAAAGGCCTCTCTGAGTGGTTAGCCTTGACCCTTCTACTGTGCGAGCTGGCCCTGGGATCTGGTTCTGTAACCCTGGACCCCAGCTCTCCAGGTGGGGTCTGCTGCAGGTTCTGGGGAAGGAGGAGGAGGCCTGGGAAAGGGAATGCAGACTGCCTTCTAAAATCCAGAAGCAGTCTTTCCAAGTGTCTCATCCAGACTTCCACTGAAGGGCATGACCTTTGCCTCTTGCCACACTGCTACGAGTTGAAATGCATTCCCCCAAAAGGTATGTTGAAGTCATAACCCTTGGTACCTGTGAATGTGACCTTGTTTGAAAATAGGGTCTCTGAAGATATTACCAGCTAACACAAGGTCATACTGGAGTAGGGAGGGTCCCAATGCTAAATCACTGGGATCCTTAAAAAAGAGAAGAAGATTAAATCAGAGGTTAGGCAGAGAGGCAGAGCAGAGCAGGTAAACCATTATCAAAACGTTGGCTGTTAGTCTGAGTGAGATGGGAGCCCCTGGAGGATTAAATGCAGAGGAGTAACATGCTTTCACTTATATTGAACAGGATCCTATAATGAGAGACAGAGGAAGGATGGTTATGCGATGATGGAGGGAGATGCAACTATAAGCCAAGGAATGCAAAAATTGCTGGGGGCAGCCACCAGAAGCTAGGAGAGAGGCATGGAACAGATTCTCCCTCACAGTTCTTAGAAGGAATCAATATGGCTGATACCCTGATCTTGAACTCCCAGCCTCCAGAACTGGGAGACAATAAATTTCTCTTCTTAAAAGCCACCCACTTCGTAGTATTTTATTATGGCGGCCCTAGAAGACTAAGACACACGCCCTCCCTTGTTCATGAAGTCCTTCTGTGAAGCTGCCTTCAATTCTTCAGCAGGTTCTCTTCTCCACTTAGAGCTCTCACATGTGCAGTTCTTCCTGCCTGGAACGCTTCCCTCCTTGCAGTTTGCCTGGCTGGCTCCTCCCGCTCCTTTAGGCCTTATATTAAAAGACACCTCTTCAAAGAAGCCTTCCCTGAGCCCCTCATCTAAAGTAGGAACCTTCAGCCCTGTCACATTCCTGTCCCTCCACACCTTAATTTCTCATGTGTTCGTAATGTTTGGTTTCTGGGTTTAACGTTCGTCTTCCACACTGGACTCTTAAGTTCCATGAGGACAGGGACTAGGTGTGTTTGCCCCTGTATCTCCAGAAACTAGCATTCCATCACCGTCAGTGTTTTGTACCTATTTGTTGGATTAAATGGATGGATTGATGGAGGGCTGAATAGATGAGAGCAGCTATCGCTTTCTGCGTGTTTACTATAGGACTGCAGCCCTGGTGGCAAAATGGTTAAGAGCTCAGGCTGCTAACCAAAAGGTCAGCAGTTCAAATCCACCAGCCGCTTCTTGGAAGCCCTATGGGGCAGTTCTACTCTGTCCCATAGGGTCGCTATGAGTCAGAGTTGACTTGACGGCACACAGTTACAACAACTATAGGACTGGAACCATGCTAAGCTCTTTATAAATCCATAATCTCATTCATACTTGTCACAACAACCCTGCAAGGGAGGTAACATCATTGTCATTTCGCAGATGAGGAAAGTAAAGCTTAGAGAGGTTAAATAAGAGGGCCAGACGTCCCTTGAGAGGCTGTGGTATGACATGGCAATTCAGGGTTTGGGAGTCAGATATTCTTGGGTTTGAATCCTGGTTCTGACACTCAGTAGCTGTGCCACGTTGGGCAAGTCACTTCACATGTCAAAGCTGGTCCCCTTCCTGCTTTGTGACTCTGCCCCCTCTTGGTAGCTTATTTGTCTTTGGATTCCCAGTGTGCAGGCACACAGGAGGGGTATGTGTGAGCTAAAATAAGCCAACTCACGGGTGCTAGTTCCTAACCCATCATCCCCTTCTCTTGATGCCAGTTCATTCGTTTCTTCAACAGTTACATACTGGGCATCTAGTATGTGCCAGACACAGATCTAGGCACTAAGGATACGCTGTTGTTGTTGTGTGCCGTCTAGTTGATTCTGATTCATAGCTACTCTTTTGACAGACGAGAACTGCCCCATAGAGTCTCCTAGGCTGTAATGTTTACCGGAGCAGATGACCAGGTCTTTTCTCCCATGGAGCTGCTGCTGGGTTCAAACCACCAACTTTTTGGTTAGGAGCTGAGTGCTTAACCATTGTGCCACCAGGGCGGCGAATAAAAGAGACATTGCTAACCAAAAGGTCGGCAGTTTGAATCCACTAGCTGCTTCTTGGAAACCCTATGGGGCAAGTTCTACTCTGTCCTATAGGGTCGCTATGAGTCAGGATCAACTCGATGGCAACGGGTTTGGTTTTGGTTTGGTATATGCCTGTCCTTCTGGAACTTATATTCTAGCTGAAGGGAGGCAGACAATATACGATGAGTAAGTAAATTATATAGTGTATTAGGAAATGGTCAGTGCTACGGTTCTCGCCTTCCATGCAGGAGATCTGGGTTTGATTCCTGGTCAATGTACCTCATGTGCAGCCGCTACCTGCCTGTCATTGGAGGGCGGCGTGTTGCTATGATGCTGGACAGGTTTCAGTGGAGCTTCCAGACTAAAAGAGACTAGGAAGAAAGGACTGATGATCTGCTTCCAAAAATCAGCCAAGGAAAACCCTGTGGATCACAATGGTCCGATCCTATTGTGCATGGGGTAGCCATGAATTGGGGGCCACCTCGGTAGTGGCTAACAACAACAATACAGAAAAAATTAAGGAGAGCAGGCAGGGTTGGAAGAACCAGGAGTGAGGCAGAGGAGTGGAATGCGGGCGAGGCCAGCATCACAGAGCGATGGCACTTGAGCAAAGAATGAAAGGAGGGGGAGGGAGGTCAGAGGAAAGGGCTTCTGGGGTGTGGGAACAGCTAGTGCCAAACTCTAAGGCGAGGGTGGGCCCTGGTGGAGAAGGAAGAGCGAGGAGGCCAGGGGCTGGAATGGAGGGAGTGAGGGAGGCTAGTCGTGGGGGACTAGATCAAGTAGATGTGACTCTGGCTTTTACTCTGAGTGAGATGGGCACATGTGAGCACGACAATGGGCAGCAACTGCCTTTCTCTTCCGTCTCCCGAAGGATCTTTGGCAAAGGGAAGGGAGGGGAGAATGAACCAGCAGCCAAGGTTAACAGAGCCCCATAGAAATAATGAGAGCAATCGTAAAAGCTGACCTGTGTAGGTACTTTCTATATCTCAGGCCCCCTGCTGTGTGAAGCAGCCAGTGGCATCTTTTCGAAATCCCTATCTGATCCTATCACTGGTCTGACCTTCTCTTAAGCCTTCTCCTCCTTATACCACATCCTCTCTCAATCTGTGCTATGGCCATGTGGGGCTCTGCTCAGTCTTGCTTATTTGATCAGCTCCACCCCACCACAGGGCCTTTGCACATGCTTTTCTCGCTGAATGGAGTGCTCTTCTCACTTTCTCAACAAGCTAACTCCCACTCACCTTCCAGAACACAGTTCCAGTGTTCTTCAACAAAGCCTATGTGGGGTTTTCATAGCACTGTGGACTCTCCTTCTGTGGCACTTCACTATGCTTTGACTTCCAGGAGGGAGGGACCAGGGCTGCTTTGCTGTATTCTCAGCACCTAGATGGTGCCTGGTACATAGAGGGAGCCCAGTGAATGTTTACTAAACGGACAGATAGATATGTAATCTTGGCCAAAGACAGTAGGGAGTGGGAGGGGAAAGGTCTACAGAGGAGAGGCTCAGAGTGAGGGGTAGTGGGGCCAGAAGGACTTACATGGTGGATAGGGAGACAAGCGTGGTGAAGGCTCCGGGGGTGATGGTGGTGATGCGATTGTCATAGAGGGACAGCAGCCTCACTGAAGTCAGGCCAGCAAAGGTGTCGTTGCTCACACAGCTGACCAGGTTGCTCCTCAGCATCCTGCAGGGACAGGGGTGGGATGAGAGAGCACAGGCGTTTTCCTTTCCCTCCCACAATAGCACCCCATTGGGGTGTGTGTGCGTGCACGTGAGCGTGCATATGTGTGTAGACGGGTACTTTTGCCAACTCTCAGCTCTGACCAGCTACGTTGCTCAGGTTTATTCTGGGACAGCAGGGCCTGGATCCCCAGTTGGGCTCCATGGAAACGTGCTTGAACATTCTTGTTTGTGTGTGCTTTATTTATAGTAGACGCATATGTCACGTTTCTGTGTGTACACACGTGTATTGTCTGGTTGTTAACGTGTGCATGGATTTTTCCAGAAGGAGAGGGAGAATCAAGGAGTGGCTGTGGACCTCAGCTTGTGTGTGTGTGTGCACATGCTTGTTTGTATATAAGTTTATGTGTATGTTGCATGCGTCTTGTCTGTGTCATTTTATGTACGTGTATGTATGCCTATTTTTGTGGGTACATGAGTGAGTGTATGTGTGCCTCTGTCAGAGTGTTTCTGCTATGAATCTATATACTGGTGTACATCTGGGCGAATTTCTTCGAGAGTATGTGTGTGTGAATGTGTGCCTATGTGAATGTGTGTGGTAGGGGGTGGTCAGCATGCTAAGTTCTTTCCCATCAAAGTCTGGAAAATGATGACTCTCTGGCTCCAAGAAGGAAGGGGCTCAGCAGGCCCAGCCAGCTCCTGGATCCCGTCTACTGCCAGGCAACCTAACAGCCCAGCTCCAATGGCCTTGCCTTCCCATCTCCCTCAGGGCCTTGACCTGGGTTCCTGGGCACTCACAGTGTCTTGAGGCTGCTGAGGCCACGGAACATACGCCCGTGCACCGTCTCCAGCTGGTTCCCCGTCAGCATTAGCTCCTGCACGCTGGCCGCTCCGTCAAAGGCACCCTCACGCACCTCCTTGATCTTGTTGTTACTCAGGTTTCTAGAGGGAGGGGGCAGAACAGGAGAGAGTCAAGGGGGCAGGGGATCAGGACACAGAGAGGAATCACTAGCGCTGCAGCCAGCTGGGGACTCATAGGGACCCCTGGGCTGAGGGCTAGGAGGGGGTGGGAGCTCAGTTTTGGGCTCCCTGATGTTTGGTCTTCATACACCTGTGCCTCGGGGGTGGGGACCCCAGCCCCACACAGGTGTGACTAGCTTTGTGGAACAGACTGTATGGGATCTGAAGTGTTTTCAACGCCCCGGGGGGCTGGTATATTTAAAATAGTGATCTCAAAGGGATTTTCTCTCTTCCACAGATATTCTCATCAAGCAGTGCTTCTTAAGAGGTGGGTGGGAGAAAAATATCCCCTTCCCCCGTGCCCACAGGATAGGACATCTGTGAAACTTCTAGGTCTCTCACCAGTTAAGAATCGCTGATACAAATGGACACTTTGAGTTACTACCTGTTGAGCACTTACTGGGTATTAGGCACCATGTGAGGAATCTGGCCAATATAAACTCGTCAAATCCTCAAAACAATGCCTATCAGGTAGCTAGTACATTTTTATATTGAATTTCATCTTATTGTGGTAAAATACACACAACATAAAATTTGCCATTTTAACCATTTTCAATTGTACAACCCAATGACGTTAATCACACCCACAATGTTGTGCAACCATCACCACTATTTGTTTTCAAAACTCTTCCATCAACCTAAACGGAAATTCTCTAAGTTCTCCTTCCTGCCTCCCTCCAGCCTATGGTAACCACTAAATCTACTTTCCATCTCTATGCATTTGCCTAGTTTAGATACTTCATGTAAGTGGGATCATACAGTATTTGTCCTTTTGTATCTGACTTATTTCACTCAGCATAATGTTTTCAAGGTTCATCCATGTGATAGCATGTATCAGGACTTCATTCCTTTTTATGGCTAAGCAAGATTCAATTGAATGTATGTACCTCAACTACTGATAGACACTTAGTTGCTTCCACCTTTTGGCTATTGTGAATAATGCTGCAGTGAACACTGGTGTACAAGTATCTGTGTTCCTGCTTTCAATTCTTTTGGGTATATACTTAGGAGCGGAATTGCTGGGTCATATGTTGATTCTATGCGTCGGAATCAACTCTGACGGCAATGGGTTTGTTTTTTTTGTTTGTTTATGTTGATTCTATATTTAACTTTTTGAGGAACTGCCAAACTGTTTTCTACAGGGGCTGCATCATTTTACATTCCTACCAGCAATGCACAAGGATTCCAATTTTTCCACATCCTCTCTAATACTTATTGTTTTTGTTTTAATAATAATCATCCTAGTGAGATCCAAGCCCAAGCCCATTGCCGTCGAGTTGATTCCGACTCATAGTGACCCTATAGGACAGAGTAGAACTGCCCTATCCGGTTTCCAAGGAGCACCTGGTGGATTTGAACTGCTGACCTTTTGGTTAGCAGCCGTAGTTCTTAATCACTACGCCACCAGGGTTTCCTCCTAGTGAGACAGATACTATTTTTTGTTTCCATTTGGTGAATGAGGTGACTAAGGTTCAACCAATTAAGTAATTTGTCCACAAGTATACAGCTGAGAGAATTGGGCTTTGAGGCCAGGCTTGTTGGTACATTAAAAAGTACTACCCTGAACCTCCTCTTTTGCAAGTGAATGCTCCATGGGTTTTGCAGAATTCAAGGGACATTGTGTTTTCTGAACGTGGGCTCCTTCTCAAGTCCTTGGTGCACTCTGAGCTCTACGAGCAGCTTTTCTCTCCAGTGGCCAATGCTGACTCCACACCACAGGCCTCAAGAGAGATCAGAACAGCAAGTAGATCCTGCTGGAGCCATTCCTGCTGTGAGTTCCTAGGTTCCCTCTGGCAGGTGGGGGTATGAGGGGTCAGAGGAAAAGAATTTTGCTCCAGAGAGTCCGGCTTCTTGGGGAATTAAAGTACACGGAATGGGCAATGCAGAAGAATTAGAGCAGCTATGATATGAGAGGGCCTCCATTTCCTGACAACTGCTTCTTTAAATGAGCAAAACTAACATCACATTACTGCAAGGTTTGTGAATTGGATTTCCTCACGCCCAAAAGGCATCCCAGGATGGATGGATGGAACCAAAAGTGACGGCTTTTACACAAGCGAAGGGAAGAACCAGTCTTCTGAGCAAACAGGCTGTCACAGCCTTGCCTGAGGTCCCATCTTCTGGGAACAGAGGCATCCTGAGTTGGAGACGAAGCCTGCTAACTCTCCATGCCCCCTGGATCTGTTAGAACTGGAGGGCTCACTAGAGAGACATCAAACCCAAACCAGCTGCCGTTGAGTCATTTTTGACTCATGGTAACCCCATGTGTGTCAGAGTAGAACTGTGCTCCATAGGGCTTTCAATGGGTGATTTTTCAGAAGTAGATTCCTAGGCCTTTCTTCCAAGGCACCTATGGGTGAACTCGAAACTCTAATCTTTCAGTTAGTAGCCGGCATATTGTTTGCACCAGGGACTCCAGAGACAGACCAGCTGCCCCGTTTTACTGCTGCGGATCCTGAGGCCTAGCGGGGAGGGCACTGCTCCACGTTACAGTGCACTGAAGGGGAATATCAGGACCATACCAAGCCCCTCCTCGCTAAGCTCTGGGCTGGCCCATAGTCTCCCAGGAGACTGATTCTGAGCAAGTGATGGATCTGGGGCCCCTGGGCTCAACTTCACCTCTTCCCAAGTTGGGGCTGCCTGTACCTGAGTTTGGTGTGGCAGACACAACTGGGTGCCTCAGTTCCCTCTCTCAAATCTTCTCCACCCTCTGTGTTCCTCATCATGACTTTGCTCTCCTCCTCCCTGGCCCGTCCTGCCAGGAAACCATGAGCAAATAATCCTCTGAATCCCCCTCAAGGTCTGACAGAGTCAGGAGACTCTTCAGCTAGATTTCTGTTCCTTGCATAGCTCTCCTTAAACTCAGCTGGTTTTCTTATAAATCTAGTAGTCCTGGTCTAGGAAAATCCAGGGATGAAGGCAATGAACTGGGGAGACTGCAAATTACCCCCACATTAGACATAGGAGGAGAGATAAAGGCTCTCCTAGAAGCTATAAGTCACCCGAATGCCAGAGGAGGATTTTGCTCCAGAGAGTCGGGTTTCTTGGGGGATTGAAGTACATGGGATGGGCAATACAGATGAGTTAGAACAGCCCTGATGTGAGAGGGCCTCCATTTCCTGACATCTGCTTCTTTAAATTAAAAAAATCAACATCACATCACTGCAGGTTTTCGAATTGGATTTCCTCAGGCTGGAAGAATAGAAAACAGAGGGAGAGTAAGAAAAGGAGGGAGAGAATGTTCCAGAAGACCTGGCTGCAGCTCTGTCTCCATCCATCAAAGCACTGCTCAAACTCATAGGTGCCAGGGGTTGGAGCCCAAAAGTGCAGTTTGGGTAAGCACTCCAAAAACAAAATGATGGCATTTTGAGCTCAATCATATTCTCAGAGCATCATCATCCCAGGAAGCCCTGAAATGTAATCCCGGGGCCATCCAGGGGGCATCCCTCCATCTTCATCTCGGAAGGCTAACCTGGAGGAAAACTGCATAATCATAGCTTTGAATATGATGAGGATGGGGGTGTTAAACCAGAGAGGACTAAGCCTTGGAACTCCCACCCAAGGCCAGGATTGGTTCCCAGGGGTCAGTGGCAAGACAAATTGGGCGCTCCGCCCTACTGCCTCTGCAAGCTACAGGCTGCTCTTTGCAGACTCTGTTCTCCTTCTTCCCAAGAGACGCTGAGGCCTCTAGAGGCTGGCGGATTCATCTGGCTGCCTCTGGACAACCTGAGTCCAACAGGCAAGCATGGTCTCCTCTAGGCCCATGTCTCTTCAGGTTTGTAAGGTAAGCTATAAACTCTGCCTGACAACAGAGAAAGAGCTGTGATCCTGTTTAAAGCCCAGCCCCAGGTGGAAATGCAATGGGGGAGCGCTAAGGGATTGGATAGTACTTCTTTTTCTGGAAACCGAGGACACTGGGTCATGGTTGAGTGAGGTCCTATTTGCCTCCCATGGACCTCTCCCTCCAGCTAAGGCGGAAATGTTATTTCAATCTGGGGTTGCAAACTCAAGGATCTACAAGGTCCAGGCAGGTGACTTAATGACAGAGGCAGATCCCCCGCAGTGATCAGGAAAGCACATGTTCCTTCTAAGGGGGCAGCTGCCTCTCAGTTCAACTCAACTGGAACCATTTGGGAATGTGGGCCCAGTTTTGCCACATCTTTTGATTTTTCAAAAGATGCCAGAAATCCAGATTTCTTTTTGAGTGTATGTGAAAACTCCTGATTTTTAAAAGTGAATGCCTCTGGGAAGTAGAGGATGATGAGCCAGGACCTCTGCTAGCGCAAATGGAACAGGAAGGGTGGCGGCAGGGTTGGGGGTGGGAGGAGGAGCAAGCCCAACCTCACACTAGTGTGATGACAGGCTTGGGCTTTGGTATCTGACAGAGACAAGTGAGAAGGCTAGCTCTGACACTTAGTAGCTGTGTGGTCTTAGAGAAGTCAGGGAAACTCTCTGAGCCTCCGTTTCCTCATCTGCAGAAAGGGAATACGAAGCCAATGCCAGAGGGGGTGTAAGGACTCAGTGAGAGCATGCACGTGAAGCAGGGAGTGTGTCCTCTCGCCCACGCTAAGTGCCCCCAGAGCACGGCAGCAACGTGACTCTTGTCTTCTCTTAGTGACTTGTCCCCACCTCCTAGGTAAGGAGAGGGTTATGACCACGGGCAGCCCTGGGAGTGGAGAAGCCAGTATAAGCACGTGGCCCGTTTCATAGGCTCTGGCCAGACCCAGAGAATCCTAGACTGAAACCCAGCATGACAAGCAGCTGGCATTTCCACTCCAATAGCCACCCTGATGCAAAGCCTTTAGATTCCTCAAAAAACAGACTTTTAACTGCCACCTTGTAAACACTGGAGCTCTGGTGGTGCGGTGGTTAAGCTTTTGGCTGCTAACCAAAAGGTTGGCAGTTCAAATCCACCACTTGCTCCTTGGAAACCTTATGGGGCAGTTCTACTCTGTCCTACAGGGTGGCTATGAGTCACAATCGACTCGATGGCAGTGGGTTTGGTTTTTGTAAACATTACTAAGTAACATGCACCCCAGACACAGGCACCCCATTGCTGGTCCTTACCTGATTCCCCCCAACAGCCCTCAGGGTAGATGTTAATCAAGGGGTGGGGGATAGGGATGTGCAGAGGGGCCATGCATGGTGGAGAATACATGCTTTGTATATCACCTGACAGTTAAAAAATAGGGAAGTCTAAATGTCCTGCTTCCCAATATGTCTCCATAGCAGGGGTCAGGAGGAGGCTGAGAGGGGCCGGGGCAGAGGGCGAGGGGGCTGCAATGCCCTGGCCTTCTGCTCTAGTCTGGAACACAGACCCTGGCCAGGGAGGGGAGGCTGCCATCCAGTTCTTGAGGCTGACTTACATTTTCCGCAGGTTGGGCAACTTCTTGAAGATACCAGTGGCCTCTAGAACTGATATATCGTTGTCGTTCAGTCGCCTATGTGGGAAGCAAGAAGATGAGGTAGTGGGTTAGCTGTGGATGAGGCCCCTCTTTAGCTGCCCTCCACTGGTCCCCCCACAGACCCCCACATAACTTTAGCTGAGTTGCGGCCTGGACCTCACACCAGCGAAGGTCACCAAAGCCATGGGCAATGTCAGCTTCTGCCCCATCAGCCTGAGGGGCCCCACAGGGAGAAGAGGAGTGTGGGAATGGGAGGAAAGGGAGAAAACTGGGGTCCTCTTCCTTCCCCCTTAACTAGGGTGTATTGGGCTTTCTGAACACTCCGCACAGGCATGCATTTTTTCGGCACCCAAATAATGGCCAATGATCTGCCTTCATTTTGTGTGTGTGTAGGGGTATCAATGGCAACTTAAAACCCCCAGGCAGGTTTCCCCAGGTTCTCCCAACCTTCCGAGCCCCTCAGCACCTTCCTGACCACATCCATACTAGGGGCTGCTCAGGCCCTCCATACCCACATTCATATCTGCTCAGGTAGAGCACCAGGGCAAGGAAGCTGTGCCTGGCTGCATCCTACCATGATGTATGAAGTCAAAGAGGAACAATAATAGTATTGAAGATAACCATCATTTGTTGAGGGCTTACTCTGGGCCAGGATTCAAGATGAACACTCCTCTTACCTTCTCTTTCTTCATCTTCCCAACCACTCTAGGAAGTAGGTATGATCATTCCCATTTTACAGCTAAGAAATGGAGGTTCGGTTCTGAGAAGAAACTTGCCCAGTCTCAGGAAGATTGAAGACAACAGTCAACCCCAGGCCTGTCAGCCTCTACACCTGTGCTCTTACCCATCATGCAATAACTTTTTAGCTCCGCCTCTTTTGGATAAACCACCACATCCTTTTATTGGCCTGGACGATTGATAGAAGGCTGAGATATAATTAATGATTCTAGTTATTTCCTTGCTTTATTACAGTTATGTATTGAATATCCGTCTTTCTGGGTATACTGTAAGCTTCAAGAGGGCAGGCAGAGACTATCTGCTTTGTTCACTGGTCAAACTGGTGGGTCTAGCACAGTGCCTGGCTCACAGTGGGTGTTCAGAAAATATTTGCAGGATAAATGTACTGTCTTTATTTGAGAGTGAGCTGTCTATGGGGGATGCCCAAGGCTCTTCCCTCAGCCTGACACCTAGAGGACAGCCAAGGAGAGGGGACATCTCCTGAGACCCTGTGCAGGCTGGCTCAGGGTGACTGGGTTTGTGGGAGAGGAGTAGGCGTGCATTCCCGAGTGAGACTTACAGATCGGTGACGTATTCAGGGAGGTGGCTTGGGATGCGGGCCAGCTTCTGGTTGGCACAGTCCACGATGGTGCCCTCACAGCGGCACTTCTCCGGGCACAGAAGGTCCATGAAGCACTCGCTGCTGAACCTGCTGTGGTAATCCTCTGAGCCTGGGTGGGCCAAAGAGGGGTGTCAGCGTCACCTGGGCTGCTGGCACAGGTGCTGAGGTTGTGGGGGTGTGTGTGTAGAGGTGCTTACGCGACGGACACAGAACTGCCTACTTTTCATTTGGTCTTTGTCATTTACCACTTTCAGCCCACATGGAAACAGAGCTAAGGATCTACAGGGTCTTAAGCTTTTGGCGGTCACGAGCCTTTTTGAGAAGTTGACGAAAGTTATGGAAGCTCTCCTTGGAGAAGTATTCCTAGGTTCACATGTACAGAATTTTGTCTGCAATTTTTGGTGAATCCCTGGATGGTGCAAACAGTTAACATGCTCAGCTGCTAGCCAGAAGGTTGGCAGTTTGAGCCACCCAGAGGTACCTCAGAAGAAAAGCCTGGTGATCTACTTCTTAAAAGTCAGCCATTGAAAAAAGGCACTCAGTTCTACTCTGACACGCATGGGGTTGCCATCAGTCAGAATCGACTCAACAGCTACTGGTTGGTTTACCAACTCCATGACACCTATCCATGGACCCTCTAAATGTTCACGAAAATCCAGATAAAGAGATTTAGTGGAGCTTGATGAGCCAATGCCTGGGGTGGGCATGAGGGTGGGAATGGGTACACAGCCTCGGGTGTCTACAGTGCCCAGGCAGGTAATGTCTTTCCCTTACCTGTGACGGAGGCTGAGCACACGGTGATCAGTGACCATTGATGCCTGGGCTCTATACTGGGAATCCCATAATGAGGGGTGGGGACCTGGAGGATCGTAGCCCATAGCCCTAATGCTTGAAAATTTGGTCCAAAGCGGCCTGATATTCCTTTTTTTTTTTTTTTCCAAGTCAGGTATTTTTAAAATACTGACAATGGATTCATATTTTAAACACTGTGAAGACAAAGTAAAACACGCACAGAAGGATCATATTTGCCCTCTGTGTTGGAGAGTAAGTTCTGTTGAACTATATAGCAGAAGGCCGGCTCCAATGAGCTAAAAGTTGGAGCTATGATTTATTTATTTTTGAAACTATATTTCTTTCAAGGTCACACAGCAATGGTAACAGGACCAACAACATGATATCTTAGAGAGACGCCCCGGGGAGCTGCTTTAATGATCAGAAACAACTCCCCAACATCCAGCAATCTACTACAGGGTAACTCTGGAAGGTCTGTCTCTCTCATTAGACCCTAGCTCGTCAATAGGAGTCAGTCTTGTTCATGCTTTCACCCTCAACGTTTCATCAGCACAATGCTAGGGACAAAACAAGAGCTTGGTCTACATTTGCCCAATGCATAAATGGATCCATTTGCACAAACATCGTTCTGCATGAGAACATTTCAAAGTGTTTCAGAGACCGAAAATAATTTATTTGTTTAACTAGTTTAGGTAGTACCTTGGTCAGCTTAATTGCATTAGAGCAATATGGGGCACTAATAGTTTAGCATTAAAGGGCATGGGTTTGTCCAGGCTTTGCCACTTTGCCTCAGTTTCTCCACATGTTAAAATTGGAATCAAATAATTGGCCCTCTCTCACAGGGGTTGTTAAAGTAAGATCCTAGGTGTGAAGAACCACTGGGAAAGGGTCAAGAGTTATGCAAATGCTTGTGCCTTTACTATTGTTTTTTCCTAGAACCTGGCAGAGCACTGGGCATGTGAGAGGTCATGAAGATATGTTGGTTTTTTCCATGTGTAGCTAGTGATAATATCTGACATTTACTGAGCATGTACTATGAGCCAGGCACTAGTCTTCAAACTTCAAATGGATGAGTCCACTTAATTTCTGCAACACTCTGATGTTGCTATGACTCCATTTTAGAGATGAGGAAACTGAGGCATACAGGTCACTCAGTAGGTGGCAGAGGGACAAACCCAGGCAGTGCGCTGCCAAGGCTCAGTTGAGAAACACTAAACTTTATGGCAGGTGCACCTCTGATGAGATCTTTATCTTAGTTCCTCCATGAATGATCATAAAGTCAAACGTGGTAGAGGTGGACTGAATGGCATTTTTTCTGCAGTAGGCTACAGTGAGGCAAGGGGCAGATGTCTTCCGCACTCCTGGTTTCTTACTCCTCACATTATGTCCCTGTGGTAATTCCTGATTCAGAGTGACTTTGGTGGCCTCTGATGCTGATGTGACACCATCTACTTAAAACAGGGGGTCAGAGATCTGCTCCTGCCCTCCTTCTTCATCTCACCTCCTACTCCTAGTCTTGTCTTAGAAAAATCTGTGCACATGTCCCCACAGTTATTGGACATGTACAGTTATGGGCGTCCTGGTCCAATGTATCATGCAAATCTCTTGCCCTCGGCTTGCCAGCGTCCATCCCATTGAATAACTCTGACTCGGACCATTTCTCTCCAGACACATGAGCTTGCTGAATCCTGGCCAAATTTCATTTTGCAAACCCTGCTAAATGACTAGGAGCCCTGGTGGTGCAGTGGTTAAAGAGCTCGGCTGCTAACTGAAAGGTTGGCGGTTCAAACCCACCAGCTGCTCCGTGGGAGAAAGATGTGGCAGTCTGTTTCCATAAAGATTTACAGCTTTGGAAACCCTATAGGGCTATTCTACTCTGTCCTATAAGGCTGCTATGAGTTGGAATCGCCTCGTTGGCAATGAGTTTTTTTATGTATGAAATGCCCCTTCACGTCGTCACCATGGGTAGCCATCAGTCCCTCTCTTGTTTTCTGCCAATGGCTTCACGTGGTGACGACGTGAAGGGGCATTTTGTACACAGACGTATGTTTTTCTTTCAGAAGAAACCTGACTGCTGATCAAAGGCAGACAGACACAAGGGAACAGTCTGTCTGCTCTTCAACACGATGAGTCTGAAGACATATACCGGCTGGGCCGAGGCCGGGGACAGCAGCCTATTAAATACATTTTCATTTTAATCAAGGTGTGAGCAGTCTATAGTTAGCAGGAATCACTCTCTGTAGAACAGTTAGATTATAACTGGTGGACCTTTGCAATGGAGCCATTGACCCATTTTAATGAAATGATTTTGCAGTGAGATTCAATGGGCTAATCTATTCTTTCCAGCATTTCCCCCCTGCTGTTTTTGTTATTGCCCTGGTTTGTAATATCGAGGGGGTCGGAGTGTGATATTTTATATGAGTGGGAGCCAGAAATGTTAATAACAGTGTATGTACATAACCAAAAGAGTCCGTTCCCCAGTCATAGCCAGCTTGAAATGCCACCTCCATCACTTCATATTTCATTACCGAAACTACCCAGGGTTCCTCGGAGCCATTTGTTATGCCTAATGCTCATAACTACCCAAAAGTATTTTTAACTTTTCCAGAGCTTTAAAAGTCGATTTCAATCTCAATGCATATTTGTCACTGCCAGAAATATTTAATAGGAGAAGACTAACTGAAATAGGCCTCCGCTTCCCCTCTCTGGGGCAAGTTCAGACAGGAGAGATCTCGGAGGGTTTGAAGAAGGGCTATAAAATTAAACCCCGGCTGGAACAGGCCTTTGGAAGGCTGACATCATCTGGCACTTTGCCTGCTCCTGTCCCTGTGGCCCTCCTCCCTATTCACGGACGACTCAGAACAAGGACACTTGGTGAGTGATCACAGGTGAGCTTTAATAGACGAGGAGGGGAAATCCACGTGTTTCCAAGAGCAATGCTATTTTGTTATAAATTCCTGTCCTACTGCCTCCTCCCAGCAGGGAATGTATGTACCATTGGGATGGTCACCAGGGTTGGGGCAGGTAGGGAGCCACGGCTCCCATTTTTTGGGTGGACTTTATTGGGGGCCCAGGGTGGCTGCTGTCTCCAGCAATCTATGTCTTGCTTCATTCTTTGGACAACCAATTTGTTGAGCAGAAGTCACAAATGAGTAGTTATCTGATCAGGAGTTCTCCTCCTCTGCCCCCAACATCCTTAAGATGAGTGCGATGAAAGAAAGACCAAAAGGCACAGAAAAGGAAAAGAGGAATTGGGGCAGTAAGAAGGCCTGCGGGGGGTCATCAGCTTAAGAGAGATTGATCTGGACAAACAAAGGGTCAGAAGTGATGAATGGAATCAAGAGAACATTGTCAGGCACACAGTTATCCATTAGTGGGTGAGGCTGTGGGGGCCAGACACTAGGGGCTGGATCACACTGTTTTACCAGGAGTTTGGAGACAAGTTGGGCAGGTGGCTGTCCTATGAAGCTATCCTCCTCAGAGGCTAATGTGAGTGCGGCCATCTGCCAGAAGGCAGAGCAAGACGCCGATGGCCTGTGGCTGGGTACAAACCTACAGCAGAGAGGTGGTAATGGGCAAGGGACCGCTCTCAGGGTCTGGCCCTGGGCTGGTGGAGGCAGTGAAGAGGACCTCAGAATGTGTCCTCTGTTCAGACAAAAGAGAGTCTCTCCAGGCACGTGGATTTGTTCTGTAGCAAATGGGATCTTGGTATGCTCGTGCTGGAGACGGAGGGCCATTTAAAGTGTTTTTTCTCTCTCTTTTGCTCAAGTTATTTTCTATTAACAGATAAGCCCGAAAGGGATTGTTAGAAAAATTTTAACTCCTTATCAATTAAAGTAAAAAAAAAAAAAAAAATTCCAGGCAATGGGATTGTCCATAGCTGGGGAGGCAGTAGAGAGTAGACATTCTAGAATCAGGTGTCTGTGCTGAGCACCTGACCCTGGGCAAGTCAGTTAATCTCTCTGAGCCTCAATGTCCTCATCTGTAAAATGGAACTTATATAGGGTTGTTGGGAAAATTAAACAAAGTAATGATGCAAAATAGTTCAGTGTCTGGCCTATTGTAAGCACTCAATATTTGTTAAACAAACAACACATCAAAAACATTGAGAGAGGTAAATAGGGCTCCTCATTACTCAGCAATGACTGGGCCCCTGGTTCTGAGGGATAAGCTGGTAAAGACAAGACAATGAGAGTCACACATGATGATGGGAGCCCAGAGCCCAGCTCTTAGTTCTAAGCCAGGATTTGGTTCCCATCATGGCGCTCTCTCATGGGAGAAGACACAGTCTCCACAGCAGGAACCAACAATGCAATC